CGGAAAGAGCGAGACGTGGGAGAGAGAACGGTGGATAACACACGGCGTAAGGAACTACTGTGAGTAAGTCAGCGCGAGGGAAGGAAGGGCCGTTTGCTTGCTTCCTGTGTACTGGGAGGGCACAGTCCGAGTCTCGGACCTATGCTGAGAGATAGAGAAGATAGCAGAAAGGAAGGCAATGCTGACAGCAGCCAGAGACAGAGGACGTTGGAAAGATATATTGCGGCACTGTAATGGCCTAAAAAAAATTATAGATTTACATTGGTGGGAAAAGCTTCAATCTCGTGCTCGTCGAAACTGGACGTGAAAGTAGGACATTATCAGGATGTTATTTTTAATCTGCTTTTATGTACGCGGTGATTTTTTTCATAGTAGATGCTTGTGGACCGCTTTGTCTTTTTGTGTTGGAAAATCTTTTGTGCTTGAAACTTGTGCTAGGAAATGTGTGATCGTTTCTTGAATTTTCAGTTAATGGTACGTTACACTATATTGTTAGACAATGCTTAAACACATTCTTTCAATTAGAGTTTGACTAGCCTTAAAACATTTTATCGAAAATTGAAATCAGTTTGTTTTTTTTTGGCTGTTTGATGTGTAGAAGTGACAAAGGTTGTCAGGTCCACATCGGTGCTGTGTGTCAATAATAGGATTAGAGGTTTAAATGATGGATATAATGGAGCACATGCGCTTAAGCGTGGTTTCGTAATGCGTGTCGCTGCTATACGCCATACGCCACGTCGTTACAGTCTAAAAAATACGCAAGAGTGAGAGTAATCTGCACGATATAAAATGTTCACTGCCAAATGCTGCTTAATTTCTTGACTAGTATTGGGTGATCGAACTTTATCGTAACTTGTTTGGTAGAGTATAATATAGTGGTCAGAACTTAAGTCATTTGTTTTGTAATATAGGAAGCCTTATATGTGTGTTTTCTTGTTGTATTTTGATGTTGTTTTGTTTGTGTTTGATTGTGGGTTTGTTTAATCGGACATAAAGACGTTTCTCTCGTGGGGTTGAGTTAGGAAAGTCATTAGGGTAGAAATTTTTTTTTAGAATTTGTTTAATTTAGGTTAAAGTCGTAGATCAGCGGGACGCTGACATCGATGACAAGGGTAGTCATATCTTGAAGAAGGCGGGAGTAAATGTACATATGATTTACAGATGTTACATAAATTATTTTAGGACGCGGAGTGCGGCCTAGACTTAGGGTTGTTTTAGCTGGCAGTTCTATATGTAGACAGAGCGTCGCGCATCTTGTGCGGCTAAATTTGATGTTTAGGGAGAATCTGATAAACGTTCTTCTAAGTCGGGCGCTTTCTAGCGGTCATGTGAAATCGGAGGTAGGACGCGTCTGGTGAGAACGCGGCGACATGGTGCGCTCATGATGTAGAGGCGTTTTTGGGGTAATATATTAAAAGAGAGAGAGAGAGACGGGAGAAGGACAGAGATGTAGGAGTCGCCAGAGTCTGGTTTTCGCGTCGCGGAATTAAGCACGCGCTTACGGCGGCCCCTGTGCGCAGTTCTCTTTGTCTCGCTGTGCAAGAGGTGACTACACTGTTTGCAAAATATTAAAGTTTATTCAATTTAATTACACAGTTTAGATTCCTTTCAATATATTCATCTTACTTCAACAACGTACTTCAATCGTTACATGTAGCATGGGCTGAGAAACTCTGCATTATTTATGTCGAACAACACAGATTCGTCGAGACTCCTCCTGGAAAAATTTTGACCTGCTAGTTTTGAGCATGTCCAGTTTGTAGTCGGATTCCATTTCAAAACAAAAACGGCCCTGACAGATCAGCTTTGACGAATAGCCACAACTACACGAAATACCCATCTACACTTTTCACGCATTTCTAGAGTCCGTAATCATCTACCTTGCGTGCGTAATGCCAAATTAGTTCCTCAGTACCGATATAACTGCAAGGAAACTCGAAATGACCATCCAGAAACGAAATAGTGCATAGTTTGTGTGAACACCAGTGGCGACTAGAGGGGGCTGTGGGGGGAGGGGGGTTGCCAACCCCCGTTCAGCCACTGCTATAATTGGCATGATCCAGTAAAATAATGGCCCAAAAAGTCAGTCTGCCAGGCTGATAGGAAAACTGGGGATTTCCGCCCAGTGACCACACAGCTGCCCTGAGAACTTTTCCAGCATGGAGGGGCATGCCTCCGGACCACCATAGCATCCGCGCTGCCTTCGGCACGCCTTCACTCAAGATATATATCAACTCCCCCCCCACACCACACTCACGGCTCCTTGAAAGCTAGACCGCCCCTGCAACACTGTGAATAATTGGCGGAAGACTTTAGCTATGACCTCTTTTTAGCACATCTCGGTTATTTTCAACTTCTCTGCAATACGCTTATTTGCATAAACAGTTTGATTTTCAAGCAAACTATCCTGGCAGTATAAACGAGCTAGCTGAACAGTGAAGCTATACAAACTAACAAAAAAACAAGTATTTCCGAGTCCTATTAGAATCCACGCAACGCACGCACACACACACACACCACACACACAACACACACACACACACACACAACACACACACACACACACACACACACACACACGAAATAGATTAGATATATATATATATATATATAATACGATTAAAGGGATATGAACACAGCTTACATCGGTTGGTAGAAAGGGCAATCATTATTTATACCGCTTTATTTTATGCTACCCGGCGTTACTTTTTAGTAGTTACTAGTTAGATATTACATGTTTAATTACTATACTATTTGATTCTTGATATTGATGATATACCTTGCGTCGACAGGATATGCGTATTATGACGCAGCGTGATGGGCGTGGTGAAAATTAGGCGCCCTCGGCCGCGACACTGATAGTGTACGATCACGCCCAGGACAAAGGTATCATTAACTTTACGAGGTAGAATTATTTAACTTTTTATTGATTTGAGCATTAAAATCTTATGCTGTATCAATCAACTTGTCCTCAATGATTTGATTCTTAAAGATATGATATTGAACATAAAGTTAATGGTAATTTCGCCGCCATTAATAGTTCTGATTCTTAAAGAAATGATCCTGACAATTAAAGGAATGGTAATCTTCGCCGCCATTTAATAGTTTGATTCTTAAAGATAATGATTTGAACATTTAAGTTAATGGTAATTTCGCCGCATTTAATAGTTTGATTACTTAATTAATGATCAACATCAGCCACTTTAATAATCGATTCTTAAATATAAGTAACTCAAATAATAACACACCAATAAAAGTTTGCCACGCCTGGCAATCGCATCGTCAAGAATTGCAGTTCACCAGGACATCCGACGCCGTTGTATTTTTACCGCCCTACCACGCATTGCACTGCAGACAGTAGTCACAGTACACAAGTTAACCTGGCAATGCACAGTTAATCATGTAACTTAACTGTTTGCGTAGACCGACTCGGCTATCTTATATATACAAGCGCCCAATATACCGTCTATGGTAGTGGCTGCGCGATTACTTACGCATTAATTAGTCGTACGGTAAAAATACACGCCCCCCGGGGACCCCCCATAGTTATTTCTTTTCATGGCCACTGATAGTATCCACTTTGTTGTGAATTGAGACACGGTTTATTGAAATGTTGCATTATGTAGTTCTGCATGTTGTTCCAAATATCTTGCATATTTCCTAATTGGGTCTCTAATGGTTGAGCATTAACTTAGTAATCAAAGATAATTCGATCAAACAGACTTAAGAGTAAACCCATAAGTTGGTAGTTTGATCCTTTCAGTGTTGATAGTTTGAGCATTAACTGGTGATCAAAGATGCATGATCACACTGAAATAATGATTTTAACATTAATGTTAAGCAAGTCGATCATATCTTCCAGTGATTCTTAAACTCTTTAATAGTTTTATTATTAAGTTCATGATCATTCGGAGATGAATTTAATGTCAATGGCCAAGTTGATTAAGTTAAAATTATTTAGTAATACTCGAACTCTGAACTTTAATGATCTGATTATTAAGTTAGATAATTCTCACTATTAAACCCTTAATGATACATTTTTTCCTGGGGCGGTCCTGCGGCAGAGCCATTCAGGGATTTCCAAGTTCCAATGATGGTCGTGAAAAGAATAAGTTTTTGAATTCCCTTTATAGCTTCTATAAGACCTCATTGACTGCAAGCTTGTTGTCGTTTTTGCACCTGTGCGCGATGGACCCATCCTGTTTGTACTTGATTTTGGGATCGCGACACTTCCAGAAAGAAATTGTGGAAGGTTGAGTCGCGTTCTCTTTATGCGCCGTAGTGACAATTCGGCCAATTATGTGATAGTAACACTGCAGGTTAAGAGTTTTTACTCATGTTTTAATTATTATCTATTTACTCGTTGTTTGATATCGGTGCCAAAAGCTTTTAGCTTATTTAATTAATGTTCCATTATATACCGATGAAAATAAATTTGTTGAGGAAGTTGAAAGAAATTGAGGAAAGAATTTTGTTGAGAAGGTTGAGGTCGGGTTCTCTGTATGGCGTAGTGAAGATTCCGGCCAAGTTATGTGATAGTAACCACGCAGCTTAAAGCAGTTGTTATTAGTTTTGATTATATCTATTTGACTCTTGTTGATAAATCGGTGCACAAAGCTGTTTAGCTTATGTTAATAATGTTCATTATACTACCGATGAAAATAAATTCTTACTTGAACTTCGAACTTGAACGCCGGTTCAAGTATTTCTACCGCGGTCAAAGAATGAATATCTTTGCAGCTTACGATCACTAACAGTCAAGCTGTATATAATGACTGTTATTATATGAAGTATTAGAGAGCACTGTAAGCCAACTAGATAATACCTATTATTTTCTATGTCGGACCAACCCGATATTTCTGTCGTTTTTATGCAAAACCAAACCAAGGTTCGCGCGCCAGCGCGACAGTCGTTCGCGCCACAGCGCCACCCCGTGGAAACGTTTTCGCGGTGTGTGTTTGGACTATGTCAAGATGCGACGCTGCCGTTGTAGTTTTGTGATTTAAACTACAATAAATACTTTCTATAGTTTCATGTGATTTTAGCTGTCGATATTGCGTCCACATTTTATCACTGCGGAAGTTATAGTCTCAGACATCGTTTAACTCAGTCTTAGTTAATGCATTGTTTTCGAAGAGCTGACAGAGGATTTCAGGCGCAAATCCACTTTAGCCGTTTAGGCACCTTGGCCTTATGATATCAACGAAGTTGATGCACCGATTTCTTGTGTATCATCAACTGATGCACGACTTCCGTATATCAAGTTATATTTAATGCAAAGAACCCTAAGTCATAAAGTATAACGTAGCGCTTATGTATCACGAAGTGTTTAAGCGTTACGGCTAGGGTTAGGGTTTTGCATCATTCCTTGATATCAGTCTGTGTGCATCAGTTAAAGTCGCAGCAATGCGCAGCCAAACGCTAATTCTTCATACTAGATAGCAAAATACTTCGTGTCATGGCATAACTCATATACCTTATGGCAAAAGAAACTCTAGCTTCCTCCCATTGACTGCCGTCCAACAAGAAAAGAGTGTGCCGAAAATCCAGGTAATCAGCGCCACGCCTAAATTGTTTCAAACAACTAACATCGAAGTCGTGTGACGTGACAACTCTTAAACATAAATGCTAATGCGGTGTCACAGGGAAAATACTAGATAAGGTAAGTCACATAGTGTTCAGTTTGTTTTAATATGATATATAAGTGTCAATTATGTTATTGTGTCATACATAATTCTTAATTATGTCATAGTGTATGTATGTTGATATTTCCCTTTCATATATATATATATATAATTTATCTCTCTCTCTCTCCTCCCTCTCTCTCTCTCTCTCTCTATATATATATATAATATATATATAATATATATATTTATCTCTCTCTCTCTCTCTATATATATATATATATATATATATATATATATATATTATATATATATATTATATATTAATATGTATATTATATAACGTGATTACCGTATTATGAAGTCATGACTTGCTAACACCTCTTCCTTAGTAACTATTATTTGATGCATGTGACTGTGTATATTCATTACAAAAAAACCAATTACTGATTCATTCTGCGTGCGTCTTCCGTACGCAACAACCGCGGCGGCACATGACGTTGAGCGTGGCTTCATTGCGTTGCAGCCCACCTGGCATCCGTACATCCCGCAGTTCGGTAACTACATCGACGTGTCGATCTCCTACTCCAGCGTGCTGTGGCCGTGGTCCGGCTACCTCGCTGTGTCCATCTCGGCGACACCGGCCGCAGAGTCCTGGGAGGGCACCGCCGCCGGCCACATCGAACTGACCGTCGAATCTCCGCCCCAGGTAACCCCACCCGCTGTACTCCTTTACCCCCATATCCTTTCGCCCAGGTAACCTCTCCATCTGTATCCCCACCACCTGTAAAATTAATGAGCCAATGAGGATCATGAATTTAATTGGCAACTATTCATTAATGAGTCTATGCATATGTGATAACATTTCTTTCCAACTCATTTGAGCATTGGAAATAACTCGTAAGGTAGGCAAATTGTAATACTATTATTGATACAATAAATATTGCCCTTAATAGCAGCATAAGGTTAGTTACTTTACGTAACGAAACGAACGTTAACATCGCATTGTATTACGAAGACGATTTGTATGGTTACGTGAGATCCGTGTCGTGTCTGACGCGCTCTCTGTGTCGCGTGTAGGGTGATGAGGTGGATCCTCGCATGTCCGTCCTGAAGCTGGCCATGAGGGTGAAGATTGTGCCGACTCCTCCACGCAGCAAGCGTCTGCTGTGGGACCAGTACCACAACCTGCGCTACCCGCCCGGATACTTCCCCCGAGACAACCTGCGCATGAAGAACGACCCCCTCGACTGGTGAGAGTCAGGAATAATTAATAATAGCGGCGTATGACTGTCATATTCCAATAGAGAAAAATGAGAATTCCACATATAGTAAACTTATTTGTCTACCTATTACCTCGACTGATGAGTGTCGTTTCTTGGCGTGTCAGCTTTAAAATGTCAAAAAAACTTCCTGATAGGGGGTGCGAGTATTCCTGTGTTTTTATGCAAAATACATGCCCTAATAGTTCTGCTAATGGTTTTCATATTCTGCTGCTACTGTTGCAGCTGTTGCTGCTGCCAATGGTTGCTGCTGCTGCTACTGCTGCTCCTGGTTGCTGCTGCAATGGTTGCTGCTGCTGCTCTGCTGCTACTGCTGCTCGCTCCTGTGTTGCTACTACTACTGTCTCTGCTGTTGCATCACCTCTACTCCTGCTGCTGCTGCTACTGCTGCTCCTGCTGTTGCTACTACTACTGCTCCTGCTGTTTCTACTACTACTGCTCCTGCTGTTGCTACTACTACTGCTCCTGCTGCTGCTGCTACTGCTGCTCCTGCTGTTGCTACTACTACTGCTCCTGCTGTTGCCATCACCTCTACTCCAGCTGTTGCTGCTACTGCTGTTATTAATGTTGTAGGAATGGTGACCACATCCACACGAACTTCAAGGACATGTACCAGCATCTGCGAAGCAACGGCTACTTTGTGGAGGTGCTTGGAGCTCCGTTTACGTGCTTCGATGCCAAGCAGTATGGTGAGAGCCGATTCCTTCATGAGCGTACATACGCTTAGAAGCACGTCTCCCAGGCAACTATATACCGGGGTCTGCTCGTGCGCGGGTGCGAGTGTGTGTGTGTGTGTTGTGTGCGTTGTGTGTGTGCGTGCGTGTGTGCGTGCATGCATGCACGGGTGTGCGTGAGACTTGAGTGCGTGCGTGTCTGTATGTGTGAAACATCTGTATGTGTGCACGTCTGCGTGCGTGTGCGTGCGTGTGTGCGCGTGTGTGCGTTTATGTACACCTCCATGCGTGTACACATCTGTTGCGTGTGTTCACGTACGTGTCTTGTTACGTGTGCAGGCGCCCTCATGATCGTCGACGCAGAGGAGGAATACTTTCCGGAGGAGATCATTAAGCTGAAGAGGGACATAGACGAGGGTCTGGCTGTGCTGGTGTTTGCTGACTGGTACAACACCACCGTCATGAAGAAGGTCAAGTTCTATGACGAGAACACAGGTAACTGCTGCTGCTGCTGCATGCGTATGAGTGCACGCATGCATGCGTGTGTGCGTGCGTGCGTGTATATACATCAATTTTTAATGGTTTTTTAATAGGATTTAATGTGTTCGATTGCGATATATCAAATTGTACTGATCAGTAGATGGCGCCACTGTTCGATGCACTGAACATTCTGCACGGTCATTGTATGAGAACCTCGCCCTTGCTTTTCAGGCAGTGGTGGATGCCAGACACAGGTGGCGCTAATGTTCCAGCGCTGAACGAGCTACTGGCGCCGTGGGGCATGGCGTTCAGTGAAGTGTCTACGAGGGGGAGTTCACACTCGCAAACCACGACAGTGAGTCAGTCTTTTCACTTCCAGACTTCCTTAACAAATTTCATGTTTACCCGAGCAATCACGGTGTTGTATGTAAAATCAGGAGTAATTAATAATAGTGGAGTGTGACTGTGATATTCCAAAAGAAGGCAATGAGAAATTCCACATATAGTGGCTTAATTTGTCTACCTATGATTTTGAAAGGGATGTGTGAAGGTTGAAATGTCTGTGTTTACAGTGTACTACGCATCTGGAACAAGCATCGCTAAGTTCCCAGAGGGAGGCATTGTGGTTAGGCAAACGCTCAAGGATCAGGGTGAGTTTCTGCTTGTTCTCACTCATATTCTTTGATCTGTATGCTCTCTCATTCTTACTTCTTAATCTTACTCGCACACTACTATTTCTCACGTTCTCTTAGGTTTAGATGTCTCCATTTCTTTTTAGTTTTTAGCTCATCTGACATAGTCAGATGCAGCTTGTAGAATCGCATGATCGTCCGTGCGTGCGTGCGTGCGTCCGTGCGTGCGTCCGTCAACAGTTGGGCACAAAATCTAAACGGCTCGCCGTACGGATTCGACAGTCGAGAGCGTGGGGGGGGAATCCGAAAACGAGTTGGATGTTGAAGGCTGGGGGTCAAAGGTCAAAGGTCAAGAGGTGTAAAAGAAGGGGGAACATTCCCTCCTTAACTTAAGGTATAGGGAGGAAAGGCAGAACGGCTCGACCTAGGCTCGTGATAGTCGGTGTATAGCATCATGGTAAGAAAAGCCATCACTGTGCTGAAATTGGAGGTCACAGGTCAAAGGTCAATGGGGAACAGGGCAGATATTAGAAATTTTCTGAGGACATGGTCTGACAGAGCGATTGAAAAATGTTGGCAGGGGGAGGGAGGTGAGAGGCAGGAGGGAGGGAGGTGGGACGCAGTGGGGAGGGAGGTGGGAGAGAAGGACCCCCCGCCCTTTCTAATTAAACTTGGAGATCCATGCTCATATGTTGAAATGTTTTATGTCAACGTCAATGTCATTCATTAACTTGTATTTGAATTGTTATTATTGTTCTTGTTATTAGAATATAGAGATTAGGTGGGTGCGAAAGGGTAGCTGATATATTTGTTCGAATTGGCTACGAAAGTCAAACAAGAATAAAGAAGACTTATGTATAAGACGTCTTGCTATGCACAAATGAATTTATCAGCAGAACACCAGACACCAGATGAGCCCTGTCGCACTGCGGCACTTGTTATTGTTATATATAACTCATTCAGACCATTTTCTCTCCGTCTTTCCCTCCCTCTCTCCTCTCTTTCTCTCTCGTGCTTTATCTCTCTCTCTCTCGGTCATTTTTAAGTTCTTCCTCTTCCTCGGAATCTGTAATTACCTATCCTCTTCTTTTTAAATGACATTCGGCGCACCAGAAAATCTCAAGCTTTCACCGGTTACGGAAACATTAGAGTAAGTAAGCGGTCGTGCGGCTGACACGGGAACCGATTCGTGCTGCGGTGAGACGCGTCTGGCTGGTCTCACTCCCGTCGCGCATTCTCATCGTGTCTCTCTGCCGTCTGCGCAGGTTACGAGGTGATCAAGGGAGAGACGGAGACAGCAGACGGGGTCGCCGTGCTAGGCCTGTACCCCACCGAGGAACCGCGGCTCAAGCCGCAGGCCGGACGCATTGTCCTGTACGGCGACTCCAACTGTCTGGACAGCAGCCATCTCCAGAAGGGTATGTCACCGACACCAGCACTCCAGATGTCTATGGACTCGGCACTCCATTCCAGATATCCAGATTTGCAGAATTGACTGTTCTAGTGTCATGTGGGATGGGCTGGGACGGATTTGTATAGGTTGGTGTGATGTGGTCTGGTAGAGTGTGGGATGGTGTGATATGGTGTGGTAGAGTGTGGGAGTATATTAGTAGTATATTAATATATTACTATTATTATTATTATTATTATTTACTAATGCTAGCACACCATTCTGCAGACTGCTACTGGTTACTGGATGCGCTCCTGCAGTTTACAACGTACGGCAAGATCCCACCGGCATTCAAGAACTTTGCGGGCACAGCGCTGCCACCTGTTGTCAACGTGCCACAACGGATGCCAGGTACGTAGAGTCGGTAATGAACAACGCGCAACAGTGAACGAGAGAAATCAGAGTCGGATTACGTCGCCGTGGCGACCGCGATGGCATTCCTCGATCTAACGTGACTTTATCCACTTCTGTCTAGATAATCGCCTCCACCAGTATTCGAAGGTTCTGGCCAATCAGCTCGGAGCCCCGCAGCCACGCCCCCTGCCGGCGTGTCCGCACCTCGTGTGGACTCTGGCAGAACCGCTGAACGAGTCGGCACCAACGTAAGTGCCCCTGGTGAGAGCGATCGGAGCAGTGCCCCCTGGTGAGAACGATCGGAGCAGTGACGCGGGGATCGCTGCGGCTGCAATCCAGCAGAATCCTGGCGCCTCCGCGTTTTCACGTTTTTTCGTGTTTTTTTCTAGTAGGAAATAAAATTTCTGTAGCAACACTAATGCACTGTCTATCTGCTCTTTCTTTCTTGCACTTCTTTGCCGTGTGCGTACTCTGCAACATCTGTGCATGCGCTTCTTTCCGCAGTCACTTCCGCATCCTTCACATGACCTTTCCTAGACATTGCCATGCACTGTCGGTCTTTCCCAATTTGTCATTACATAATCTTTTTCTCGTTCCGTGCATCATCGCATGTTCCTATTTGTCATTACATAATCTTTTTCTCGTTCCGTGCATCATCGCATGTTCCTATTTGTCATTACATAATCTTTTTCTCGTTCCGTGCATCATCGCATGTTCCTATTTGTCATTACATAATCTTTTTCTCGTTCCGTGCATCATCGCATGTTCCTATGATTTAATGCATATTGTAACATTTGCTTGGTATGGGGGCGGTGAGGGGTCTTTCTTACAATTTCCGTCTCACGCTTGATTCCTCCACGGGCTAGCATGTCTTCATCTATATTCATTCTCTCACTTGCTCACAGAACCATTCAACAAATGTTCCCACTCATCGATCATCGATGCCTGTCGCGACTAATGCTGTGTAGATGCACGCTCGCTTTACCTAGCTACTGGCACTCTAAATATAGAACAGGGCAAATTGGGCAGCAGGGATCATTCCGGCTAACGAAAGAGAGATCTAGATAACTCTGAAGACAGACAGACAAATGACGTCTGCAATGCTGTGCGCGTGCGTGGTCCCTGCATGAGTGACGGCCGCATGCCGCTTTCTTCGTTGTTGCAGCAACTTCTACAAGCACAACAAGCTGCTGTCGGTCGAGGTCGCCGACGTGCTCCCCCTCGCCGCGCTCGGTAAGCCGCCCGACGGTCTGCCCGCCGCCGCGTTCCCGGACGACGGGCGTGCGCGCTGGGACCACCACGGCGTGCACAGCGCGGTGCTGCCGCCGGGCCAGGACGTCGGGCAGACGTTGCCCGTGCTCGTGCTCGCCTGCGTCTGCTGCGTTGCGCTGTTCGTCGGCAGCCACCTGCTGAAGCGCTTCCGCACGAAGCCGCGTCGACGCAAGCCGCGCCTCAAGCGCATCCAGCAGGCGATGCAGCATGGAGGCAGGATGCCCGCCGTGTAGCGCGGAGGAAGGATGCCCGCGGTGTAGCGCGGAGGAAGGATGCCCGCGGTGTAGCGCGGAGGATGCAGGATGCCCGCCGTGTAGCACGGAGGATGCAGGATGGAGGCAGGATGCCCGCCGTGTAGCGCGGAGGATGGAGCATGGAGGAAGGATGCCCGCCGTGTAGCGCGGAGGATGGAGCATGGAGGCTGGATGCCCGCGGTGTAGCGTGGAGGCAGGAGTAGATGATGCAGTGTACTGAGGATGCAGTAGCACACGGAGGGTGAGGTCTGTAGTGTAGACGGTACAGTGTTTGTGAGCTGAGCGTGCAACGATCAGAGGGTTTTGCGCACTGTCCTATGCATTCCTACGTGAATGGATCCACTCTCGTGGGTGTGCGTACACACTTCATTGCTTTACACTGTGTAGTTACATGAACCGAGTATTGTGCACGCGTGTGCATGTGCCCGCGTGCTTTGCATTGTAAATAGTGACAGACGTGTCGTAGAGTTTCGTTACGTAGAATTCACACACGCATGCATGCACGTCCTGATGCACACACATACACACGCACATGCCATCGGTGTGTGCATGCGTGCGCGATAAAAATTGCTATGTGATACATATGCCAACATGTCTGCACATGGCTGTGCATGGCCATACATGGCGGTGCATGTTTGTAGTGACTATGTATGTTTGAACACGACTGTGTATATCTGTCTGCACATTGTTTGGCATGGCCGTGCATACATGGCTGTGCATGTATATAAATGGCCGTGTGTATTTGTACATCGTTGTGCATGTGGATGCGTGGCTGTGATGTCATGTCTGTACATGGCTTTGCATTGCCGTACATGGCTGTGCAGTTCTGTGCATGTCTATAAATGGTTGTGCACGCAAGTACATGGCTGCACACACACACACACACATGTACATGGTTGTGCGTGGCTGGACTTGGTTAGACATCATTGCACCCAGTAAAGCTGATAGGGTCTATGTCTCTCTGGGTACTGCCGGAACGTACCCTGGGTACGGTCCGGTATACCGGAACGTACCCTGATACTAAATACTACTATCTAATATGCCGGACCGTACCTCGCCTACTCCACTAACGAGTCTAGGGAGTCGCCTATGCCTACTCCCTAACCCTAACCCTAACTATAACCATAACCCTAACCCTAACACTAACCCTAACCATATCAGCTAGACG